CAGCTGAAGTGGTGGTAGTGCTAGCTGCGTCTTTGCCGTACACAGAGTCAGGCCATCCCTGGAAGGGGGCAATGGCAGCCTTATCAATCCAAGAGTCACTGCCCAAGATACCGGCAGCGCTGAAGGAAGAAGTATCACTGGCAATAGTTGCAGCAGAAATACGAGCAGAAGAGTCCCAGCCAGGGCCAGTGTTGTTACCCTCAGTGAAGGTACCGGTGAAAGTGCTGGGAGAAGCAATCTTCCATCCGGCGCCTGCGATATGCCCATCGAGGAATGAGTTAACAAAAGCGACATTGGAGTTTGTGCTATAATCACGTCCAAGGAATGTGCTTCCCTCGGGAACAGAACTTGACTCGGGGACGACCGCGCAGAGATCGAAGACAAAGCGAGAGCCGCCGTATTGGCCCTGGTACTTGTGGGCGGCGATAGCCTGGCCAGCGGTAGACCCCCGAGAAACAATGATGGAGTTGTAGATGTAACCAGCGCCTTGTCCCCACACGAAATCAGTGGTTCCTGATATCTTTGAGTGACTGAAGAAGAAATTGCCGTAGTCGAGGTACAGAGTTCCCTGAGACGAGTCAATGTCGCAGCCATAGAAAGCCACCTTTGTTCCCTTAGCGTATACAGCCAGAGCGATGTTGTTGGCCATAGGATCAAAGGAGTTCTCGAAGTTGATGTTGTAGAAAGATACGAGCTTGGCTTCGTACTTGTTGGCAGCGAATGTTGCTGTACCCAATGAACCACCACTGCTTGACAAGACAGCGTTTCTGGCAGTGATAGTGACCTTGTTGTTCTTGGGCGAAGAACCATCAATGGTCTCACCGCGGAAGACAGTAGCACCAGTACGGACGACTGAGACCTGTCCTTGGTATGTGCCAGCAAGGATGTAGATGTATTGGGTGGTGTCATCAGCAGGAAGGGCTGCGACTGCGGAAGCGACAGTGTCGTAAGAGGCACAAGGATTGCTCTTGGGTCCAACAACGAGAGCCGTGCTGGGAACAGCTGAAGGCAGCGAGCATGAGGACGTTGTAGGTGCGGCGGAAGTGGACTCCTCTGTTGTGCTTGTTGCAGATGTGGCCTTGGATAAGGGATCAGAGGTTGTGGTCACGGGGTCAGCGGCCTTTGTCACCGACTCGGAAGTAGTCTTTTTCGAATCCGATGTAGTTGTTGCTGATTCGGATGTTGTAGAGGAAGTTTCTGAAGTCGTAGGAGCGGCCGAAGTGGTGGTCTCAACATCCTGCTTGAAGTCCTTGGCGTTGCTGGCCTGAATAGCACTCAAAACACCCTGATCAATCCAATCGAGGGAAGAAACCGCGACACTAGGGTAAGCGCTCTTGAAGAAGGCAGAGATCTCATAGGGAGAAAGGTCCTTGGGGTCTGTGACCAGAGTCACATACTTGGAGCGGTCCGCCACATGGTTGGAGTAGCTTCCGTCGCCAGTAGTGCCGAACTCGATGTAGCTGTTCAGCTTGGACTGCGTCTTGGTATCAACATAGACACCAGTAGCAGCGATGAAGCTTCCAATGCTCGTATCGCGGAAGACAGCGACAGAGCCATCACCGTTGCCCGCGGCGAGGAAGACGCGGGTATTGGTTGATCCACTCTTCTGACTGACATCACAGGTATCGAAGACGACAGTCGAGTTGTAGAGCGTGGTACCAGAGAGGCCGCCCTTGTTGTAGACGATAAGGCCATTGCTGTTGGTAGCTGTGACGGTGGTTCCATACAGGTAGAGCGAAGGGTAGTTGTAGAGGACCTTGTCAGGGGCCTCGATATACGAGTTGGCGACGATGGCAGAAGCGTAGGATCCAGTGATGGCAGCGATACCAGCAGCGTAAAACTGACAGTTGTAGAATGCATTCTTGCTACCTCTGAGGAAAACAGCTCCGCCAGACCCTCCAGCCTGGGTGTTGGAGAACTTGATGTTCTTCCACGTGATACCGGCAGCACTCGCCGTTGAGAAGGAGACTGCAGGATTGGCGTTTCCGCCGTTGTCGATGACGACCTTAGGTGTAGAGGAAACATCGCGCTTGTTGGAAACTTCACCGACGATCGTGACGGTGGGTGTAGCCTGGATGACGACGTTTTCGGTGTAGGTGCCAGCAAGAACAGTCACGGTTGGGTAACCACTTGTCTGTGCTGCCTTGATAGCATCGTTAATGGCAGTGTAATCGCCGCTTCCGTCAGCAGCAACTGTGAGTACTAGAGGCGAGTCAGTTGATGTTGAAACCACGCTCTCTGATGTTTGTTGTGAAGAAGTGAAAGAAGAAGGAAATTCGGTGGTCAAAGAGTGTGATGCCTCGGAAGTGTGAGTTCCAGACGATGTGAGAGTCTCGCTCGTCTCAGAAGAGGTCAGCGTGGCGCTGGACTCGGACGACGATGTGAGATCCCCAGAGGCTGAGGTCTCGCTTGCTGTTAGAGAGCCAGAAGACGCGTCCGATGTGGCGCTCGACTCAAGCGAAGGGGTCAAGGCTGTAGAGGCATCGCTGGTGGCAGAGCCAGAAGTCGTACCTGAGCCAGCGCTTGACTCAGAAGACGACGCGACATTGCCAGAGGCTGATGTCTCGCCAGTCGTGGTGAATCCAGTAGCGGTGTCTGAAGTTGCGCTTGAATCGACAGAAGTGGCCGAAATAGTATCGACGTTGCTGGTGGCAGTACCAGTTGTCGAGCCAGAGCCAGCGCCTGACTCCAATGATGAAGTCGATGCGGCCTCAGTGCCAATTGTGGCAGAACCAGTAGTCGTGTCGGAAGCGAGGCCTGAATCAACCGATGAGGATGCAACAGTATTGGTGGTAGTTGGCTTCACCGTCGTCAGGCTGGTAGTCGTCGTGTCGGAAGCGGCTGTGGCTGTCTTGGCGCCAATTGCATCTGTTGAAGCTGTGTCTGCATCGGATAGTGCAGATGTTGAGGCATCATGTGATGCCACTGCAGTTGATGAAGAGTGTGTGTCGCCGTCGGTAGAGCTTAGAGATGTCTCTGAAGAAAGTCCTGATGAGGTGCCAGAAGTGAGGGTAACCGTAATGGTCGATGAAGTCTCAGACAATGAGATACTCCCAACAATAGAGGTTGTCTCTGACTTAGATGCAGAAGATGTTGTCCCTGAGGATACTGTCTCGGAAGCAGCCGTAGTAGAGGTCCCACTCGCAGTCGAGATCGGAGCTCCAACACCAATACCACCCTGGGGCTGTCTTGGCTTACATGCCGACGATCTCTTGACAAGCGGATTGACTTGGGGAGTGAACGACGAAGAACCGCCGTCGGCAACAGGAACATTGCCGTTCAAAGGAGTGTCATGAAGGGAAGCAAAACGAGTGGAATGGCTGGAGGAAGAATCAACGAAAGCAGGGACAACTTGACCTTCTTTTGCAAGACTGCTCCCACAGAGAAGCGGGAGCAGTAGCCAGGCAGACAATCTGGCCATGTTGAGCCGTGATTCAAGGCAACAGCACAAAAGGTTACGGACGCGGGGGAGGGACAAAAGTACGTGGTCGGACTTTGCATTCTACAGGGGCTACATACACTGATATAACATCCCGTCTCTTATCTGATACCAGCCCCAGAGGCCACCAGACTCTCGGTTATGAAAAGGCCGTGAGTATCGCCCAGTCTAGAAGTACTCGGCTCGCCCGTCAGACTAAGTAGTCTTGGGCATGGCAAAGCCTTCATCCCAAGTGACAGAAATATTTAGATGAGTTTAGGATATCTTAGAGTAGCTTATGATGACCTTAGTGGACTCTTTGACCAGTTTATTATGGCCCCTACTCTAGAGTCTTACGACACCCTGAGAATAGTGCCGGCTAGCAAGCAGCTGAACATGGCATTTAAGAAACTATCGATTTCATTCAAAGGCTAGAGAGGAAACGACAGAAAACGGTCGAATAAAAAGTTCAAATGAGTCCAGGGGACTCGGCCGTGACGGAAGATAGCGCCGGAAGAATTATTTGGAGACGGTGAAATATACCCGTTTGGGGATAGAGGCAAGGTGTAGTGGGACGACCCTAGATTTTATCTCGTCTCTTAGCTGAACGGTAGGTCTGGGCCTGAACTAGAGGCCAATGAGAGGGTATTAGTGACGACGTGCTGGAGTAACCAGACTGCCGGGAGTTTGGACCGTTGCCAAGAAGGTTTTTCTTGTGGGACGAGGACGATGTCACGATAAGGTTCCCAACGGCTGAACCCCTTTTTTATGTCTGAGTTTAAACAGAGTTTCATAAATAGAGGCTTAATTCTGAGTCTAATGATTTATATGTTTAAAGAGTCATCGAATTGCCACTAAACTCCCGGCAAACTCAAAGTGTCACAATCCTAATCTCAAATCCCATCACGACTCATAAAGTTCGAGGCCAGCACCACGTCAGCCCATCGTCATTTCCAAAATTACAGGGGTAAGCCATGAAGCAGATTCACTATCGAATTTGCCAGCCACGAACGGAGAAGGCCCCGAAACGATTTCCCAATCTGAGTGTTGGGTGCAAGCTAGTCGGCGGGTAGAAAGCTTAGATCAGGAATAGTCTCACCATTCGCGACCGCCACCGCCACAGGCTAATGATTCTGACAGAAGCGACACGTGGACCGGACACTGCGCTTATCGGTATTTCCATGCGAGTGGGATGAGAGTCTTAGATCTGGTGCAGGGGATACCCCTGACTTGGATCCAGCTTGAGTCAGTCGTGTACGACAGTTCGCCTTTTTTTAGTCGCTTTCCTGTGAGAGAATAATGTTGCTCTTTCGGTTTACCGATGCTTATTGCCGACAGGTTTCGACTTTTCAAGGCCGAATGGTCTCAATTAGTTTGAAGTAAATGTTCTGGACCTCCCTCAGAAGTAGTCGAGATTCTGTGCAATCTCCAACAAATAATGTCTTGGAGCACCATAAACCCGGTAAATGTCAAGCACAGTTAGATTCTTTTGCGAAACTAGACATGTCCGTGATCGGAGACAACTCTTTCTTTGTTAAAATGGGCCTAGATTTGGTTCTTAAGTAGACTTGATCTGACTACCCTAAATAGGATAGATGTAGAACTTGTTTTCAAGATCAGTCAGGTCCAGGAGGGCAATTTCGACCTTTCTTCGAACAATCTGACCATTCTCATCCAACTGCTCAACTTCCCCAAACTCATGTGCGAGTCTCTCTTCCTCACTCAAACCAGCCGCCCACTCCTTGCGCTCCTTATTCCTCCTTTTGAGAATAAACTGAATCACGAATAAAACTGCCGGAGTTCCCACCCAGCTGATAAGAATCATGGAGATCCAAGCTCCGTAATACCTGGGAGCATCCTTCGGAACCCAGATTTGCGGTGAAATCAAGTTTGCAACACTATAGCCAATCATGAACATGACGTTGCGGGTGAGCTTTTTGGTGTAGCCAGCGGCACTCGATGTTGCCCAACCCAGGGCAATGATGTAAGTGTTTCCGTAGGTATGGCCTGCGAGGAGGAGGCAAGCAAGCATTCCGAGTTTCTCGTTCCAGTTGATGGCGACCATTCCGATACCACCAGCAACAGCAGGTATACACCAGACAAGGCCGTGAAGAGCAAGGTTGGAAGGCCACCATTTCAGTGCAAAAGTTCCAGCAAGACAAACCGCGACTCCAAAACCACCGCCAGCTGCAGCAACAAGTGTTGAACCTAGAGCATCGACGCCAAGAGCCGTAGTGATGAGATTCTGTTGGCCGTATGTCAAGTTGTTGGACATCATAAGGGTAAAAGCCTGGAGTGCAAACAGCCAAGATACTGGATCTCGAAGCGTCTCCTGAAATTGTGTCTTCTTGAACTGCTTCTGTTCGATGGAACTCTGACTCGACTCGTGCACTCTCTTGATAGAGTGGACCTTTTCCTCCAGCGTCAAGAACCTAGCCTCGGCGGGGTTGTTTGGGTAGAAGAACCAAACAAACACAGATAACACAACGGACAGGCCTCCAGTAACAATCATGAAAAGCTTCCAGGGTAGTACCGTGCTATGACTCCAGAGAAGACCGTAGGAGATGAAAGCTGCGCAGACTGGTGCCAAAGCTGATGTGACCCAGAGGAAAGGCTGAAGGAATGATTGTTCGTGGCGGTTGAAGAACATGCCAATTGTCATCTCCATTGCTGGCACGACTACTGATTCGGCAGCACCGAGAGCAATTCGAAGAACGACCAGGCCTGCGTATTTGGTCGCAACGCAGTGAAGAAGGATAGTAGCTCCCCACATGAAGACTAGTCCGGCAACGAATTTTCCAAAGGGAAGTCTCTGCATGAGATAATGGCCAGGCCATTGTGCAGCAAGATATCCTGTGATAGTGTGAGAACGGTTCTTGCAGGTAGTAAAGGGTCTGAAACATACCGACATAGAAGAATGTTCCCAGATTGTTGTATTGTGCCTTGTTAATACCTGTTTCTTCGAAAAGGCCGAGAATGGCAGCATATCCGAGAGTTGACTTGTCAATCTGCAGATGTCAGTGAATCTATAGTGGGAAATGCTGGTGAACTTACGAATAGAAGCAGATTGATCGCTGATAAGAGTCCCATCACGTGCCAGTAAAGCTTTCTTCGCAGCTTCTTCTCCTTCTCGGGAGTCAGAGGCCCAAACTGGTCGCCATGTTCCTCAACGAGACGCAGGGTAACATCAGCATACTTTTCAGAGACAATGGCTGTCTCTCCTTCTTTCTCCCGGCTTTGAACCCTAGAAAGGTCCTTTGAATCTTCTGTGACACCCATATCGGCAGATGGAAAGATAAAGAACTGGAATGAAGAGCGGATACAGCCGAGTGATCTGCATGCGGGAAGTGCTTGGCTTTATCTCAAACGACCATTACATATGAGACCACTATCAAATCACATCAGATCGACTCCATACTTCTAAATTGATTACACTGACTCACGAATCGCCCTTTTCGTGATGATTTGCACTTCATTGTTACGCTGACCTTTGTTGCGACAACGTGGGGAACGATTGCGTGCTGAGGCTATTGCGTAGCGATAGGTCGATTGCCTGTTGATGCGTCAAGGATTCGGATCCGAGCCGCTGGTAGTTGCACGATGCGGCGCATTAGATGCCGCAAAGCCGCAATTTTAACTCAATAGGGAACGCCACACTTTAGGACTCATGGCCTCTGTCGGCTGGGCGAGTGAATCTACATGAGACGAAAGATACACATATATTTTACCTTATTTTACCTGCATGTCTATACTAACCCATGGCAGTCCAGCGTTCGTGTCGCAATTATCATGTTTTCCGGTTTCTATTAAATCGTTAATTGTAATCGCGAACTTGTTGAAATGGTTCATGCGAGACTGTTCTGGCTTCGGGCACAGGCCGACTTGTAAAATCCACCTTGCTTATATTGCTAGTGAACTCTATTCCTGCGGCTCCGCGACATTGAAAACCGGTGCCGCACGCGATCCGACGGGTCAAATATTTCCCAATACGGTAATATTTCAGCCTCAGGCGAGTCTATACCGCAAATTATGATAGTCTATGCCTAGATTAGGAATCATATATTGCGAACTGTCCATCGAACAAGAATCAGATATTGCCCGTATACAGAAACTAAGACTACATCCAGCCGCAGCATATCCGAGAAGATTAAAGGGTGAACAATGTCGGGACTCTTCCGGTTCCTTCATGTTCAGCAATAATCTTCTTATTCGCCCTTCGAAGAATAAACTTCAACAAGAAGCAAACACAGATTTCTAATACAGCAAACGCCAAAAGAAGAACCATCGCCCTAGTATACCTTGGCTCATCATTCGAGTTGAAGAAGTAAGGGCTCCAGACGGTTCCAAGCTGACCGGTGACATTGATGATAGCCGTTGCACACGCCTTCTTCGCGGTGTCTGACCAACTGAAGACGCAGCCCAGCTGTATAAAGCCGCATTTGCTCCAAAGCAACCGCAGATGTACAGGAAGGACGCAGCATAACGAACGGGGATATTGATTGTCGCAGCACTGATGATAAAACCGACAATTGCGAAAAGGATCGCAACGCTTATGTGCCACCCTCTCTGCTTTGCGGTCACTGTGCCAAGCGATGAAATATGAGATGAAAGCGCCGAGAAGATATGGTGGTGCGGTACAGATAAGAGTGATTGTTCGACTACCCAGATTGAAGCCTCGGTCGATGGCAGGGTAAAAGTAGTTGAAACCGTAGGCAGACTGGTTAGATAGGAGCAAAAGAGGCTGTGCCGTGGTTAGATGCTTTCAGAAATATGGAGATTCGGAGCACCTACAAAAGCCCAGACTTTGATATCGGTAACGGCAAGTCTTAAGCCATGCATCACAGACTGGTCATGTTCCTTCTCAGACACAGCATCTCTGGCCATGCGAGTGACAGCTACTGCTTTCTCCTCCGCGGTAAACAGCCGGTTCTGACTCTTTGTGTCAGGGAAATCGGGAAGCATCACAAACGCGACTAGACCCAGCAGAAATGTAACAGCACCTTCGAGGATGAACAGCCATCGCCATCACTGAAGTCCAGCTACACCTCCCAAGCCTGCAAAGATACCCGCAGCCAGTAGGCCAGACACTGCAGTTGCAAGCACAAGACCAGAATACAGAACTGCATAGCGGAGTGCCAACTCTTTCTTGGTATACCAGCAAGACAGGAGGAAGAAAACGCCTGGGAAGAAAGGCGCCTCGCATATACCGAGGAAAAAGCGAAGAACGATCAGATGCTTGGGAATGAATTACAGGCAGCAGTGGCAGCAGATACAAAAGACCATAGGCAAACTTATGCTGTGATATAAATCGAAGGTCAAACGCGGGTGAGGACCATATTGCTTGGAATCTGCATCAGCATGTATCCGTCTCCCGTTAGCTTATGTTTCCCATGATCGATAATTCACTGGCCCAACGTTTAGGATTGCCAAAGCAGTACTGTAATCGTTGTCACTTAAGCCGAGATCCTTCTCTAGAGGGTCCAAATTTGCTTGAGTATTGTTGCATTAGTAAAGCACTGAAACGCGGACTAAGTCAATTCTTACGCAATATTGTTCCTGTCCAAGGAGTTGAACAAGTAGAGGATGAAAACCATCGGCATCAGAGTCATGTCTAGCTTGCGGACAAGAGTGTTTTGCACAGAATCGTAGCTAGGATCATCGACTTCGGAAGAGATACTCACTTCGTTGTCGGTGTTCTTCGAAGGGGAGAGCCCTCAAGGGTTTTGCCATCAGCAGCGGCAAAGTTCGCCTCTAAGAGTTTGGTGGACATGTTGCTGAAGGCTTGGCGGTAGAAAGATATTGAGGATATGTTTGACCTCTTTGAAGACATTGGTAGTTTTCAAAGAGGTGAAGGGCCAACTTTATATCTTACCTGCTCCAGAAATCTTACCGACATCGGATCTAGATAAGACTTCAGTATGGGGCCCCGGAAGGGGCATGAATCGTGGGGTATCTCACATCGAATCTAGTAAGTTGTCATATTCACGAAACTCTATTAACAATATCTCAAAGCGAGGCCGTGGAGCAAGTCCGGGAGGTGGAGAGTGGTGCAACGCTAGTGGTTCAACGGAGGTGTACCTCCATTCGGTACCTAGGCTTTGTGGCTGACTAGTATTCCCACTATCTTATAGCTGTAAGTGGTGCTTCGATGTATTGACAAGTCTAAACAAAGCGGATTCGATCGATGTCTCTTCGTTCCGAGAGTTTCCTGCCAAAACGGACTCAATAGCTGCCTCATCGGTTAACGTTAACTGTTCTAGATATCTGCTCTTACCAGTGTCCTAGGTAACCTTGGAGGATACATCTTAACCACAGCTTTAATTGCTGAATCGCATTTGGCGAGTGGGTTCACGAACTTGAGGAGACTAGAGATTATATATGGTTCGCTGCTTCTCACAGGGCCTGACCATATCCCAAAGACATACTGACGCAGTCTTTCTCTGATACTACACGAGGGCATCGGCTATTTCAAGTGTTATATCGTAATATAGTTCTATATCAAGCCTGTTGTTTTGACTAAGCTGTATATAACAGGGTTTTAAAGATTCCTCGCATTGTCTTTTATAAAGCCAACCCGGAGAGTAATCAATCTCATCTTGTCAATATGCTTGAAACCAATTATTATGATTTTAAAGCTTGCTAGACCTCTCAGAAATAGCAGCAATAGCTTCCATCTCCACATGAGCGCCCTTTAGGGGAAGCTGAGCAACAGCCACGCACGTTCGGCTCTATCCGTCGTTGTCAGTACCGAGCCAACACCTAAGGTGAGATAATTCACTTACTGGCTTGGGATCAGAAGTGAAGAACTCGAGGTAAGCCTTGTTAACCTCGGCGTAATGGTCCATATTCAATATAAAGATGGTGACTTTCAAAGCATTATGGAGACTTGTTCCCGCTTTGTTCAGGATGGCGTCGAGGTTCTTTAGGGCACCCGCCTACTTTGAGCATTAGGATACAATTCGATTAATAGTCCGGGAAAGACAAAAGAGGACATACGGTCTGATGATAGGGACCCTCAGCCAGTTGTCGAGTCTGGGGATCCATACCGAACGAGCCTGAGCAGTAGACCGTTCCATTGTGGATGATTGCTTGAGAGAGATGGGGACTAGGGGCAGGTGCATCAGTAGTTAAAACGCCGGTTCGGAGAGGCATGATGGATGGTGCAAGTGTCAAAAGGTCTGAGCCTTAAATGCTAGGACGGTATTTGTTGAAGCTTGGCTTAGTCCAGCCATTCCAGGGGGCTACTTATAGTCTATTGGATAGGCCAGTCTCGGATGTGCGGAGGAAATTCGGGGAGGCATTTTGATCGAGTCAATACTGAAATTCAACATACATCTGCCCAACAATCTATGCCAGGATGAATCCGTGATAGACCTCCCCTCAAGTCTCCACCGTCGAAGAAGAATGGAGGTGGATCTCCGTGAGGCTAATGCAAGTCAGTGCCCAATCAAATCTCAACGGACACCTCCCTCCATTGCTTTAGACGCCTTCTTTTTGACTACCAAGTGGCGCCCTCGAAATGGATTCGGTAGTTGATGGAAGTCAAATGGGAAACTGGGACAAAATGAAATAAATATCAGAAATCATGACGTGGACCCTGGAAGTGCATATAACACGCCTCATACGAGCGAGATATACTACGGGCGTCTTCCGAAGTCAGGGCATAAATCTGCATCGATTCCCTCTTTTTATAAAAGCACGCACTAGCTCGTCCTCCAAGCCATCCATCCTGAACCAAATATCTTTGTGAACTTATTTCTAGAAAGCTTTACCACCACTTATTAAGAATGTCTCAACAAGGCGAAACCATTGTCGTTGTCGGGTATGTCGAGCAGCTTTCCTGGCTTTGAAGCCCTTTGTTCTAAATGTGATAGATTGCCCAAAAAGACTCAATGACTAACTCTGGAACCCACAGCGCTGGAGTCATAGGACTATCCACGGCCCTTCGAGTCCAAGAACAAACTCTTTCACAGAACATCCCGCTATCCATCGTCATCGTCGCACGAGACTTTCCCAACGAGACGTCCATAAACTATGCTACGCCTTGGGCCGGCGCGCATTATAGACCATGCCCGGGAAACACTCCTCAGCTACTTCAAGAAGCCGTATGGGCGCAGAAGACATACGACACGCTTGACAGTTGGTCTGAGAAAGACAAACTCACCGCTGGTGTGGAATTCATTCCAGGAGAAGAGTTTTTCGAAAACCCAGCGCCTGAATATGTCGATGTTACCAAGGATGTATCAAAGTCGGTGTACGCTCACCTCGAATCGAGCTTCGAACTTTTGAGCAGCAGTGAATTGAGTACCATGAGTGACTCCCTGCAACTGGGGTTTCGTTACCGGACATATTCTCTCAATAGTCCTCTATATATATCGTTTTTACAGCGCAGATTTCAGAATAGGGGAGGCCGTGTAAGGCAGTATGCACTTGCATCGCTGGAAGAGGTCTTCTCTATTGAAACTTCTTTCTCTGTTGTGATCAACTGTTCAGGCATGGGCTTCGGTGACCCGAGAGTATTTCCCATCCGTGGTAAGTGACATGACACTGACGCACCCTTGATTCTATTACTAATCGTATTTCAGGCCAGACATGTCTTGTCCGAAACCCAATTTCCAAGACCATAACACGCCAGAACTCGGATGGGTCTTGGTCATTCGCTATTCCGCGACCTTTAGAAGGCGGAACTATCATTGGAGGCACCAAAGAGCCCCATAATTGGAACCCTTATCCTTCATCTGAGACACGACAAACTCTCTTGTCCAATGCAGCAAAGTGGTTCCCTTTCGACAGCGAAGGTTCTGTATCTGCTGACACGAAGGAGTCTAATCGCTTCGATATTGTCAGTGACATTGTTGGTCGTCGACCAGCGCGTGAAGGTGGTCTTCGCCTAGAAATGGAGCGTCTCAAGCCTGGTGTTGTTGTTCATGCGTATGGTGTTGGTGGTAGAGGTCTTGAGCTATCATGGGGGATCGCAGATGAGGTTGTTAGTTTGCTCCAAAAGCAGGGCTATTTTTCTTCACGAGCGCGTTTGTAGATCAGCCACACCCTGATCAGTCTGTTGTTTCTCTCACTAATTCGGAGGGTCGAGGATGCTTAAATCTCTTATGATATTATTTGATTGATCTCAATTATGTGTGAATATAACGCCAAGTTGGGTATTTAAGTCAATTCATTATGAAATTCTCCATCCGCTATGCTAATCCCAAAATCCAAGTCTAGATGTAAATATTATAAGATGATATGCTTATGAACACTTATCAGGCATGGCCTGAGTAGGAAGGAACTGAACACCTGAAGCAGGGTTGCCACCCAAGACGATGTCAAAGTAAGTGCTCTGCTCCTCGAACTTGGTCTTGGCCTGGAACGCAGTGAAGCCGGCTGACTTCTTGCCAGTAGCCTTGAAGTTGGTGATCTCAGTCTGGAACTTGGGAACTATAGAGCCCTTGACGGGTTTCTTGTGGGCGACGCGGAGGGTCAAGGGGTCCTTGGCACGGGCGTCGCGAACCATGGCTGTGACGACGAGAGGCGCATTAGGAAGCGACTCGAGCACGGCGCAAGACTGCTGAAGTTGGTAAAGGACGGTGTCATCGACCTTGTAGCCACCGGTCTTCTGGTTATCGTGGGTGACAGTGGCCTTGGTGGAGGGCTTGACCTCCTGGATCCAGAACTTGGTGATACCATTCTTGGCGTCAAGGGTGGTATCGAACTGGAAGTTCGCAAAGAGCTGGCCAGCGCCACTAGAGGTACCGCCCTGGAAAGTCACCTGCTGCGTAGGAACAGTGACCTTCTTGCCGTCTCGACCAGAGTAGATGAGGTTGATAGCAAGGTCATTGGGATCACGAATGTTGTTTGTGATTTTGACTCTGACGGTCCCAGTCCAATGCATTTTTCCTTTGCTGTTGAGAGACAATTCGGTGATGTAAGGGCGGACATCGTAGGCCTCAAGGACCGGGGTGAGC